TAATAAAACATTCATTTAAAAGATTAATTTTGCCAAAGTTGTAAACATCCAACAAAAATCACGTATTTAAGGAATGATAAATGAAACTTAAAATTGAAACGGTTTATAAAGAGATGTGAAAAATATCCCCCCTCGTCCACAAGTATTAATCTTCCGACTCCTGATGGCATGTTTTTTCTCTGCTTACTTAGTTACACGGTAACGAGATGAATTGCCTCGTATTGTAGTAGCCACCAAAAAAAAAAAAAAATTGAGTGGTTGGTGGCAACGCTGTGGACCATTTAGAAAAGGGATGAATAAGATAAGAAAATTCTTTAAGTTAAGTGGAAAGTATATATCTCGCCAAGAGTTATCTTAAAATTGTTGAATTCATGATCGAACTGAAAGAAAAGTTGGGAAAGCTTTTTAAAACCACGTTCATTTTATTTTTTCTTCTTTTATTACTCCATTTTAATTTATAACTTTAATATATCTACCATAAAACGTTTCGTTAAAAAATCGATAAATTAATATTTCGTTATCAATATTACGAGGAAACGTAAAATTGAAATACTGGGATGCTAGAAAGATATTAAACGAGGCAACGCCAATAGTCGATCATGAAGGCTGTAAATATACGAATATACTTTCGAAATGCGGACAAATAAACAAACTCTCGAGGGCGCCATGAAAGAAAGCTATTTCCTGGCATAAGTGCTTTTCCACAGCTTCTCTTGGCAAAATCATCAGAGGGTGGAGTTATTTTTTTTACAAAACTCAACTTTCCTTTCGGTAAATCATCCCTAATTGCCCGACGTCTAATGGTTTCAAAGATGGCAATCTCAAATAGCTTTTATCATGCGACAGCTCGTAATCACATTAGAATTACACATTAAATCATGTGTAAATGCAGGACCGATGAACACTACCAAGCGAAGATGGTTAATTTCAAATTCAAATTTAGTCGATAGAGACATAATGCAACTCGCAAATTTTGCCCTGTCTCCCAATTCCCTTTCGAGTCGGGGAGAATTAACTGATATTGCCATGATTTAAATATACAGTGAATTTCACTTAAATTGAATTCACAAATATATACTTTGTCCCACATAAAATGCAACATGTCAATATTACAACGCTATAACGGATCAACACGAGGAGCGCACTGTTCGTTATAACTCAATAAAAATATACAACAATCTAGCGCTGAATAACAAATAAAACTAGACTAACACTAGCACTAGACCTAGAACTACTGGCACAAATCCAGAGGTTAGCATGTCTTAATATAACGGTTGCAATGAGTTCTTCTCCGGCGGCTACTTTGGACACCACTCCATTTCTATATACAAAAGGAAGCAGCTACAAGTGCCTTATCACTCAAACAGTTTCCTCACTCAAGTTGATGCAGGGGAACCTCAGAGGACATCTAGAAATCCTCAAGGACCCATGTCTAAATCACCTGATTGAAATTAAAACGGACCTTATACCGACAGAATACAATTTCAACCAGCCGTATAAGGTCATATTTAGAAGCAGGGATGATTAGGCGAAGGGTGGACCTTAACTAAAAAGAGGAACCCTAGGCTGGTACACCGATGCTTCAAAGACAGTTAGATCCGGAGTAGGTATGGGCATCAGTGGACCAAATAGCCACATTAAACTGCCCCTCAGCTCGGGCATAACAATTTTCTAAGCAGAAGTTCTTTCTATAAACCTTTGCACCACTTTGAACCTACAGAAGGAACAGAAATGTGCATCCATAACATTTTCACAGACAGTCGGGCCGCCTTAAAGGCAATTCAGGCCTACACGTGTGACTCCGCACTGATCAGAGAGTGTACCATCAGCCTTACTCTATGGTGGGTTCCAGGTCACAGCAACATTGAGGGCAATCAGAAGGCGGAGAAGCTGGCTAGAGAGGCAGCGAACACGCCCTTCATTGGACCCCAACCTTGTTGTAGACTACAAAAAAGCCACCTAAAACAAATAATCACCAGTTGGGAGGTCTCAAAGGTAGCCTTACACTGAAAAGAACTTCCAGGTCACAGACAAGCGAAGAGTATGATAACTTCGTCGCAAAACAAAACCAAAGAAGTTTTATGCCTCAGCAAAGGGCATCTAAGGACGTTCTCAGGTTACGTGACCGGCCATGCGCCCCTAAAATACCACCTCTTCCACATTGGACAAGCTAAGGATCAAACTTGTCGACTTTGCAACGACGAGTTAGAAACAGCTGAACAAATACTGTGCAATTGCGTCGCCAGAGGCCGTCTAAGACACAAAATTTTCTGTAAAACTCTCTTGAAGGTCTTGAAACTCATTAAGTTTCAAAACCTCAGGGCAATACTAAGATTCATCAAGGACCTACATTTGCCCTAAGCTTTTGGAGAGCTAAAGTTACAATAGAACTTATAGGTCGCTACCATCAGCCCGATAGCAATAATAATAATATATAACGAGCAGCAATTATAATAATAATAAGACCTAGAACTAGAAACATTTCTTTTAGCCGTGCCTCTCTTAAGATGGCTGGTAGGTAGTACGTAGCGCTAGTTAGCATAAAATATCACTATGATGCATATTTTTATTGCATTAAAACTAGAACTAACACTAGACCTAGAACTAGAATCATTCGGAATTTATTCTAGAATCAATCAGCCGCACGTCTCTCAAGACGGCTAAATCCGAATGTTTCTAGTTCTCGGTCTAGTGTGAGTTCTAATTTTGCACTAGCACGATCACTAGAATTAACACAAGACCTAGAATTAGAATCATTCGGATTTAGCCGTCTTGAAAGACGTGCGGCTAAATCCGAATGTTTCTAGTTCTAGGTCTAGTGTTAGTTCTAGTTTTAATTGTTATTCAGCGTTAGGTTGTGGTATATTTTTATTGAACTAAAAGTAGAACTAACACTAAACATAGATCCAGAAACATTCAAGTTTAGCCATGCGCCTCTTAAGACTGAAACTTTTCCAAGCAAAACTTTTCCTTTGCAAAACTACCCAATGCCTGTACTATTAAGTGCATAGTAGTTTCGTAACTATGATTACTGCATTCATATATTACAAGATATATGAAATTCCTGGTAAATCTACTGGTAGAANTATTGCCATGATTTAAATATACAGTGAATTTCACTTAAATTGAATTCACAAATATATACTTTGTCCCACATAAAATGCAACATGTCAATATTACAGTAAAACCTCGCTATAACGGATCAGCACGAGGAACGCATGAATAACAAATAAAACTAGACTAACACTAGCACTAGAACTACTGGCACAAATCTAGAGGTTAGCATGAGGCAGCTTCATGTGCCTTATCACTGAAAACAGTTTCTTCACTCAAGTTGATGCAGGGGAACCTTAGAGGACACCTCGAAATCCTCAAGGACCAGCCATATAGCCGTATAAGGTTATATTTAGAAGCAGGGATGATTGGGCGAAGGGTGGGCTTCAACTAAAAAGAGAAGCCCTAGCCTGGTACACCGATGCATCAAAGACAGTTAAATCCGGAGTAGGTATGGGCATTAGTGGACCAAATAGACACATTAAACTGCCCCTCAGCTCGGGCATAACAATTTTCCAAGCAGAAGTTCTTGCTATAAACTTCTGCACCACTTTGAACCTACAGAAGGGACAGAAAGGTGCATCCATAAACATTTTCACAGACAGCGGCACTGATCAGACACAAATAATCAACAGTTGGGAGGTCTCAAAGGTAGCCTTACGGTGTGGAAAGAACTTCCAGGTTACAGACAAGCGAAGACTATGATAATAACTCCATCGCAAAACAAAACCAAAGAGGCTTTATGCCTCAGCAAAGGAGATCTAAGGACGCTCTTAGGTTACCTGACTGGCCAAGCGCCTCTCAAAAACCACCTCTTCCACATTGGACAAGCTGAGGATCAAACTTGTCGACCTTGCAACGACGAGTCAGAAACAGCTGAACATATACTGTGCAATGCGTTGCCAGAGGCCGTCTAAGACACAACATTTTCGGTAAAACTCTCTTGACATCTACCGACATAAACATTCAAGACCTAGGGCAATACTAAGGTTCATCAAGGATCTACATTTGCTCTAAACTTTTGGAGTTCTAAAGGTACAATAGATCTTACAGGTCGCGGTAACGAGAGGGGCCGCTCCCCTCAGCCCGGCAGCAATAATAATAATAATAAGACCTAGAACTAGAGACATTTCTTTTAGCCGTGCCTCAACCCAAACATTTGGGCTTAGCTGGACGTCTCTAAAGACGGCTAAACCCGAATGATTCTAGTTCTAGATATAGTGTTAGTTCTAGTTTTACACTAGTACTGTTACTATGTAGAACTAACACTTTACCTAGAACTAGAATCATTCCGGTTTAGCCGTCTTGAAAGACGTGCGGCTAAATCCGAATGTTTCTAGTTCTAGGTCTAGTGTTAGTTCTAGTTGTAATTGTTATTCAGCGTTAGGTTGTGGTATATTTTTATTGAACTAAAAGTAGAACTAACACTAGACATAAATCCAGAAACATTCAAGTTTAGCCGTGCGCCTCTTAAGACTGAAACTTTTCCAAGCAAAACTTTTCCTTTGCAAAACTACCCAATGCCTGTACTATTAAGTGCATAGTAGTTTCGTAACTATGATTACTGCATTCATATATTACAAGATATATGAAATTCCTGGTAAATCTACTGGTAGAATGGAAAATACTGATTACGCAAGTTAAATCGGTTTTACTTCTTTTGCTTTTTAAAAATAAAGTCCCTAGATTTACAAAGTACCGCGGTTTGTCGCCATTTTGGCTCAAAAGTCAAGCGGGAAATTTAAAACTATGTCGTTCTATTGATAACATTACGCCAAAATTCCTTTCTGTTTTCTCGTGGTATTCTGAAGAGTCGAAAGCCCTTCTCACTGCTATTTTTGCAACTCCAAAGGCAACAAGATGGCAATATTTTTGTAAATAAGTGGTGAGATGTAGTGACAAGTTGTCAAACCGCCATTTTGGCTCGAAAACAGGCGTCATGAACCGCGGTACTTTGTAAATCTAGGGACTTTATTTAAAGTAGTTAAATCGCTACATCTATTGAAAGAAACAAGGAATTAAAATTTAAATTAATCAATCAGGTTGACAACCTAATCCACCCTTCAAAATTAAAAAGGTATAAATTAACAGAAAATGCGAATAAAAAATAATGCGAAGAGTTGCTACGGCATCACCAATTTTAAACAGCTGCTGCTATTATTTTCATTTTGGTGGAACATTTCTAAGCGGTTATATCCTGAGACCATTACATTCGGGATTTGCAAATTTTTTTAACACAAGCATGGGATGGGCTGTACACTCAGATCCGAATTCTTTATATTATAGAGCAATCATAAACCCGATTGTGAAGCTTGTAAACTTTTTTGGAAATGTTTGGAATAAAATTACTGGGCGACGCCAACATCAACCACAAATAATTATTGACGATGACGATTAATAATTAGAATTATAAGGTTATTTTGTAGTGTAAGTTTTGTGCACGTAAAATTTGTGGTGATAAAATAAATTTGATTTTCTTTTTTTTTAAATTTAATATTCTTTACAATGTTAGTTATAAAAGTTCTTTCGTAACGAAGAACCGAGAATTCTAAAAGAAGGATCGTCTACCATAAAAAGGATCATAAATCTTTTATATTTTATTAGGATCCTCCCGACAGAAAGTGGTATGTATATATTACCGTCAGATAAAATTATTGCTATTGCTAAAGTAACGTTTTTCTCCATTACTACGGAATGATTTAAAATATTTTTGGTATTTGTATAATTAGATATTGAATGAATTTAAGTAGAACATAATTTTATTTTGATTCGTTTTTATAATAAATCACCCAATATTTTAGTTTAGAACTTATTTGGAAATATTGAAAAATATTTGATATTATTGTAGACATGTGGTGTGTCCCGAATTCAGCAGCTTTCCTAGTTCGTGTGAACAGCTTGGCAGAGGTTGAATTTACATTTAAATAGGATCTGAGATGATTTACATACGCTTGACTACCGAATATTGCTCTACCTCAAAAATATAAAACATCTTCGGGGCGGATTTCTTATCTCGTTTGTTATCGAAAACTGTATAAAATTATTCATTTATTTCATTTATGTTATAACTTATTCGCATTCTGAAAGTGCGACCGCGTCACGCAGGTTTAACAGTTGCTGGTAAAATGTTTACTGTGACAGTTTATGAGGACATAAACCGAATGTGCGAAACAACCATTCCATTTTGGGACAGACCTCAGTAATAAAATGTCCACCGCCGCCACCGTTAATCCCCAAGCCATTAACGTCTGAAAATAATAACTTAGGCATAATTAATGTACGCCCTGAAATTTTAGCGAGGACGAGGAAATTGTGACGTTGGGTAAACGGTTTTAAAGGACAAGGGATTTTTTGCTTATGCGTCAAAACGAAATGTAAAATTTCGAATCCGATTTTGAGTACACAAACTGATCGGAATTCAAAAAGGTTTAATTTTAACATCGCTTGTTTTCAAACGTATTGGTCTAAAACTAGGACTATCACTAGAATTCACACACAACCTCACTTATCACCACATAAATTGATCTTGGAATAACAACAGCGTCATTGAAATAGCTCGACACCTAAAAAAATTGACTCATTTCAGTCAGCAATTTTCAGCACTCCAATCGAAATGAAAACACGAAACTGGAAAATACAAAGCGAATATTTGTGTATTCTCTGCTTACGCTTTAACGGTTGACGTTTGTACGAAATTAATTATTTCATACCGGAAATTTAAGCACCGTTTGCACATAGACTGTTCATTCTATCGCATACGTAATACAGAACGTTCTCGTGCTTTGTAGGAACTTTGATCCTTGCGGTTATGATCAAAGGTCGTAAACTGTAGCATTAAATAGTTTATGTACATTTTTGAATTTCACGTTATCCAAGCATAACTTGCTTAAATTTTAGAATGTATTTACGTTTATAACGCGATAAAACAATGTAAAATGCTCTGCATATATTGCAGGTTTCGCGTTATAAACTGCGAAACTTTAGTCGTATAAGTGTACGAGTGCCTCCTAACGGCTCGATCTTTTACAGGACTTAAACCCGCTAGAAGTCCACCTGGCGCCGACGGGACGCGAAATGGTACAAGCTCTAAGGGGTTTGCTCCTGCAGGCACATTGGCATACATTCACCCTTCTGGCGGATTCAACTTCGACGTCAGCCCTGCAGAGACCAGAGCTTTGGGGACCTGTCTCCGAATCACCCCTCCACCCAACCCTCATCTCTTTGCCGTCACCGCTAAGAGCCCAGATAATCTTCAGGTAGGGTAGAGTTTCTTGTCACTTATAAGGATTAACTGAAAGGAACCAAATATAAACATTTTACTTTTACACAAATGAGTCTTCGTTCAAAGTTGAACTTTATTAGAACAATATAAAATTAAACCGTAACAGTACCAAAAATTTAGCTTATCGAATCATAAATCCTTGCAGCTATAAATTCCGAGTTTAGCATGGAGGTACGAGGAAACTTTGAGGACGGTAAAAATTCCCTTGTTGTGTTGTATAACTTGCGCGAACTTGAAGTTTGCAAAATGGATGCATACCGCCGAAGTAAGTTTACCACCAACTTTTAAAACTTGACGGAGTAAACGTATGAGATCTCGCTCCTTTTGCTCGCCTAATCCAGCTTAATTAATCCCTGCTGCAGTATAAAATAAACTCATTTACACGTTGTTAACTACCCAGTATATGTGTGACAAATGTTGTGGGATTCGCAAACCGTGTTATATAGCTAATTTTAGTGTGGAACGAGGTTATACATTACATCGTAAGTCTTGTCCCATAATTTTAATATCTGTCATTAGGTAATTACCACGCGAAGTTTAATGATTAGATAAATAACCCCCGAGAGTAATTGAGCTATTATATAACCTTGACATTTACGCACTAAAACTCTTGAAAATCGGGTGTTTCAAAGTTTAAAATAAACTTTATTTATTCTGAAGCTCTTTTATCTCCAGCCTTTCTAATATCCATTACTTTCGCCAAAGTTCATTGAAGCAAAAGTAGTCCACCTAATTCCGAGGAACCCTCCTCCCAAAGAGAGTAAAACCTGGGATTTCAGTACTACCATCCATTCTCAGAATTTATCTCGGGATAGAAACGTGTTCGCAAAGTTCATTAAAACGTTAAGGCAATTGCGGGTCTCATCAATCATTGAATTAAAAGAGAAAATCTGCGACAACTAGGGTTAAAAGTCCTGGTGTAAAGTTCGCAGCGTCGTCTTCGTGTAAGAACTGAACCGAGAAAGATATGAACTTAATGAGAGTCTGAAATTAATGAAAAATGTAAAAAAGCTTGGGTCAAGAGCCCAAATAGACTTCATACCGCCAACTCGGCGTCAGCAACCCTTTTAAAAATTCTTACTAAATAAATAATTACATCCATCCTTTTTTTTCTGGTTTCAAGAAATCTAGTTGAGTTAGTTTAACATTTCAATTCTTAACGAGATTAAAAAGCTCTCCCTACGGACCAAAAGGTAATTGGAAGTTGTGCAGTTATAGGATTAGTCGCACACCGTTGGGTATTTTCGATAAACGTCGACATAAACTTCTCATCGAACGGTTCAGAAATCGCAGAAGAAAAAGGATATATTTGTTGGTGGATCGACGTAGATGGTTTTGCGGATGTAACCGCAAAAGTTTAATCTGTTTTCATTGAAAGTTGGTACTTTTCTTGTTACACCGCTTCGGAAAGAAATCAGAAATGAAATTATTTTTGGTTGAAAGACATTTTAACTTACAAAATAATAACTTTAAATTATATAGTACTAGAAACATTTGGATATATAGTTAATAATGCAAGTATTAATTCTAGATATTGATTGCAAAAAGAAATACATGTCACATTCAGAGTCAGGTTATTGTATATTTTTGTTGAACTAGAAGTAGCTGTCTTAAGAGACATAAAGCTACCACCACAAATGTTTTTACATCTAGGTCTAGTGCTAGTTCTACTTCTAATTCAACGAAAATATACAATGAATGTGACATGTATGAATGCTTGTATTCAGACGCACGACTAAACCCGAATGTTTCTAATTCTAGGTCTAATGTTAGTTCTAGTTTTAATTGTTATTCAGATTGTTATATATTGTAATAAAGCTTTTGAGACAGGTTTTACCTGAGAAAGAAACATAACCTCAATTCAGTTGACAGTTAATTTTTAGTTGCTCATAATTCTGTTAAAACTGTTAATATCTTGTCTAAACCATCCAAAACGGGAAGATCAGTGTCAACTACATCTAATTTATTAGATTTCGGAAGATTTTGAACGATTTTCACCTTTAAAATTGGATTTAAAATTTGTTAAATTCAAACTTCTTTTGTGGTTGGAGAATCTTGAAACCTCCAATGGACGGCTGAAATAGAAGGATATATGCATTAAATACGAAGTTTCATCCAGATTAGTGCAGAATTAAAGAAGATATGAATAAAATAAGTTTTGGAATTTTTTGAGTAGTTTGAGAGAAATCCGCTAGATGGCGTTCTCGTAATTTAAAAATTTGAAATTATTTTAAGGGAAGAAATGGCGCGAAACCCCTCAACCAATCAGGAGCGAGGGTTAAAAATAGAATGAAGAAAATTTTCTGGAGAAGGGGAAAAGGGTATAAAAGAAAGGAAAAAAGTTGAACTAAGACAGTCCAATTTAGTAAGGCGAAGAGCGCGGTTGAATTTTGATAAAAAACCTAACCTAAAAAAATAGAAGTAGTTTCCTAACCTTAAATTGGTTCTTCGATAATTGCAATGCAGATTTAACGTCAAATCAAGATTTCTTTTTGACTTAAAAATTTACAAGATCCAATTGAAGAATAATAATCCGAACCGAAGCTTTCCGGATTTCTGTCTATTTGCCATTCCTAAGAGGGACCTTCCAATCGAATTGAGTTACACATAACCTAAAAGTTATTTATCAGATAAGTGGGAATTTTACTGTTAATTTTAATGTCAATAATTCAAGATAACTTACAAGTCAGTTGAAGAATCAAAATTACGCGATAACAATATTACTTTCATTTTAATTAAGAATCTATCGATTATTATTGACAGACTTAAATCTTTAGTAGTTTCTTAACGTAAACATAATAGTTTGACATCTGTCTTTATTGGCGTTTCGCTCTCTCTCAAATAACGAATTTAAAAATAGAAACCTGTAATTTAAACTTTCCTTTTTGAGGCTAAACTCGCTAAATTATTAACCAATATTAATTTATCGAATAGTAAATTCAAATAAGTTTCAAGCTGATATCAAGAGTCAATTTAACTTCAAATTACTGTAGGTAGTTTCACATGCCGCGTGTGTTTGATGTCATATCAAACCCCTCTTCACCTAAACAAATTTATCGTACATACTGCCGATCAATATCCATAATAAACTCGTTAAGACCATCGTATGCAATCAATTATGGATGAATATCGCCGCAATGTAGTAATTATCCTCAACAAGGTCGTCTAGATTACTTATTCACGGCATCTAGGGTTAACTGCGCAATTCAAAGAAACCCCCAACAACCGGAAACTGTACGGGTATCATTTAACACCCGTAGAGCTGTCGTGTTTTCTGTGTGGAAAGCGAGAACCCACATCGACGTCTGAATATTTGATATTCACGTTCTAAACTAACCGACCCATTTTGAATTATTGCCGTCCGAGATATTTTAGAACGCATGAATTGATGGTTTACCCAGTGCGGTAACACGTCCATTTTGCGCTGACTTGCATTTCAAATGACTCGTTCGAGGACGAATTATTGAAAATTAGTTGTATCGAACGATGTGGTTGACAATTTCCTATCGAGGCAGTTCTGTGTTACATTTTATTTGACTTTACCGTTTGTGGAGGCATTCGTTTCATATCTATAAAAGCCTGTGGGAAAGGTTTATCTACACAAAAGTAGTTTTATAATAAAAAATAAACAATATTCTTTGTAGTACAGAATGAAATTATTTTCCTTCGGAAAATACGGAACACAAAGTTAAATAAAACGGAGAATTTCTCAGCGAATGTTAAACAACTTGAAGCAGTAACAGTTTATTCGATGACTTTGCAAGGAAATTATATAGAAATTTTTTCAACGTAATGAATCCAGTCTTTACTGCATCATCAATTAAGTTGATTACTCACTTAATCACGTAATCTCGTAATTGGATGAACCAACCACCGTGCCTCTTATATTTTAAATCGATAACGTCTTTCTTGATGAAACGCATTGGAATAAACTATTTGAATCCTTTTTTGTTAATTAAGTTCTAAACGGGACGACTTTTCAAGATTCTCTCGAAGAGAGAACAAATGAAGTTATTGGGTTATTAAGTTTACGCCGAACTTTTTATATCCGGAATCAATTTCATCGTTTTGAAATTGTAACTTAATGTCTGTAATAAAATTCATCCAATAATTTATTACCGCAACAAAACGAAAGTCGGCGAAAGAAAAAGATCTACGGTTTTCCGTCTAAGTACGGACACCGGTCTTCTTGTAAATCGTACAAAAAACCCTTATGAAGGTCCTTCGTTACGTCGTCGGCTCTTCGGTGGTATCATCCCATTGTCCAAGACCATAATTTATTCAGGCTTGATTACTCATCCAGGTCGAATAGTGGCGGGTGGTTTCTCGGAGATTTCCGGCTTCCTCAGGCCACCCTTGACATGGGCAACCCAGACGCTGAACGTGATTTATCAACGGTTTCAGCAGCCGGTTTTTGTCGTCTCAATTCTCGAGGCGTTAGTAACGGTGTTTTCATGTAACCAACTTAACCGAACCGCCCTATCGTTACACGAAAATTGCGAGTACTAAGATTATTATTTTGCTGATTTCAATTGCTACATCAATACAAAAATTAAAAATATGGCATCTTTAGAAATTGTGTAGCATTTATAAGTGCGTGTGTTGTTAGAAATAAAACCAAAACTAGAAACTTTACTACAGTTTGTAGTTTTGGTTTTATTTTTGTTTATAATTTATGTTTAATGTTAGGCATGATACCGTCATATGTGTTAATTAAAAATGATTCGTAAACAACTAAAAAGTAAGAGAATACTTTACTCTTGAGAAAAATCCTAAATTTTATGAAGTACTTCATGGTAAAGCGTTTGTGAAAGAAGCAAGTAGGATTCCATAAATACTGCGTTAATCTTCTTATCAATACACTTCTTGACGATAGGCAACTATATCAACACAAAACCTAATAAACTTAAAATCCTTGTATACATACATTAATCATAGTTGTAGCTTTAAAATTGAGTGTAAATTAGCTGGATTTATTAACACCACTCGCAGTTAAATTAGTTCCGGGCTTATTACAAGTACAGCACCATCTGCAAAGTAATGAGTTATATAGGAATTTAAACTAAGCAAGCGATATCTACGGTTCGTGGTGCATCAGAATATACAGCAACAACGCAGAATACGCTCTTATTCCACCCGGGTCGTTTAATCAATTCGAAATTAGATGACTACGTTCATGTTTTCCTTTCCCCAAGGCTTTACTCGACTGCACTTTCGCAACTGAAACCACAAAGGAAGCACTTCGCTGTAAGAGCTGTTAATTATAATTGCTTTTCAATTTTCGGGCGTTATTAAGTCACCCCAGTAAATGCGCTTTATATAAAACTAAGTCGACCTCGAAATTGCACTTTATGGTTTTATAAAACCCATTACTGTTTATCTTTGAGTGCTAGAAATCTCTTTACAAAAATTCAATAACGTTTAATTTGAAATTAATTTTTAATTTATTTTTTTTCAGAAAGCTAGCGGATATGTCGCGGTCAACTAGAGGAGTAATCGTGCTTTTAGGTGATCGTTCAACAGCAGGAAGGATTCTTGATTACGCTAGGCGCCTTAACATGATCGATGGCCACTTCGTTTGGTTGTGGATCAACACATCAAATAACGCGAAAAATAGAAACACCACGTTATTCGAAGACTTAGAAGATCACGATAAGGAGTTTGGCTTGGAACATTCGGAATCATCATCGAGTAGACCAAAACGTGATATACGTCGCGAAGCTATAAGCGAAGAACTTTCCGATTTGCATTTCGGGAATTTATTGAAAAGAGAACGGTATTTATTGTTTAATAAGGACCAACGATTGCGTGGTTTCGATAATTCGAAGTACAAAGGGAGCAGAATTTCGCATGGTAGTGTAAATGTTGTGGTTGATGTGATAAACAGGACAGGAGGGAAAGTGATGTTGCCTCAAGGACTATTGAGGCTTAGACCTTTAGCGGTTAAAGTTGATCGGCATCTCGTCAAGGGTGCTGCCAAACTTCTTGTCGCCACCTTGAAGAACGTACTATCAGGTTGCCCAAGTTGGCTGGACGATGGTTTGAAATCTTTTCAACTATCAACTAGTTGTTGGAAATCTTTGGGTTCCATTGAACAGAATTTCTCTACATATTTTGCCCGGTAAGTTATAATAATTTAATTTTATTATTGATATTATTTGTAATCACTAAAAGTACTTTATTAGATTGGTATCAGTTTCTCTATGATGTCGTCAAATCACCGAGCTAACACTAATATAGCTGACTAACACTGTATTAAACAATTACTTAATCTCAAAACATCAATACAAAAATTAGAAAACCTGTCATCCTTGGAAACTGTTTAGCATTTATAAGTTCGTAAGCGAGTGTTATGCAAAATGTTTCCCAAATGTTTCTAGTTTTAGTTTTATTTGTGATGATGTAGCTCCTCGTCCGCAAGCGAATTCCGCTTAATTAGGCATGATGCCGTAATGCATTAATTAGGGATGTTGCGTGACTTAATTAAGCCATGGACGCGTAACATCGACACAGAAGTAGGGTACTTCTCAAGGATGAACAACTTCATGGATCTAGTGAAAAGTTTTTCTATGTCATTTCCATTTTGCATATTATTAAATTTATTAGTTTGTTGATCTAAAACACTAAAATTGGCTATCGTTTAATAACTAAAATTGAATGTAATAGAGCGTTAATAGTTCACAATTTATACATTATCGCATAACCCGTTCTCATTAAATGTACATATACTGCTGTTGTGCTATTACGAGCGAGACAAACTGACAAGGTTAATTGATTAAATACATTTATTGAATATATACAGTAGCTTTACATCCAATTAAAATATACGTTATATATCATTCAACGCAAATTAAATTTTAAAGTTACATTACTACATCGAAAATTTATGATATATTAAAGTGTTGGTAACGTTTGATTGTGAAATGTGAAAATGAATAACTCGGTACTTTTCTCAACTGGTTCCTTTTTTAAAAGGTTTTGTCTGCATTTGACGATATTTGTTGCCCGGTGAGGAAATATGCAAAAATATGTAAAAATTATGGGCCATATGCCCAGAACGTGCTGTATCTAGCGTACTTTGGAAAGTTTTTAAAATGAAGGGTAAGTTTTAATTCACAACGGTTCTATTTAATCAAGTTTTGTAATAAATTTTTTAATAATAATGGATCTAATATAAATGTAAATATCTTCTGTTAAAAATTCACTGTAAATTTTTTTGCAATGATACTTGGAAATATTTTAAGCGAATTCTCTCTAAACTCCATGTCTAGAACATTGAAAAATTCCAATTCGTGGAAATTAGCCGTATAAATCCACCAAAGCTAAGTGAAACCGACACGAGTTGATGTCTAATACGGGTTTCGTACTTCTAAAGGACTTCCAGCGTTTGAAACTCAGTTCCTGGTAGCGTGATGTATTTCAGACATTCCAGTAAGTGATTTTTAAGCTTCTCTAACCGCTATGGTCGTAATTTTTAACATTCTCTTCGTTTAGGGCTGAATCAAAAATATAATATCCGAGCAATTTCAAACCAAATGTCTTCTCACCATGATTTTCAAGGATGCCTTTTATGTGGTGGACAATTCCCCTTTATCCTTCTGTATGACAGTTTCCGCTGCTTATTCGTGCAACAGTCGTATAATTAAATTTCTTTTCGAGTACCAGTTACAACGTGATTTAGTTTCACGCCGTTGAATTCCTTTCCATTGAACTCTCATCGTTTCGAACATTCCAAGTTAACTAGAAATAGCTCTAATTAGGTTAATTAGTTTTGAGAGGGAGATTTTAATCAAAGTGTTCCAATACTGAAAGCTTACGTGAGCAACTATCTTAAAAAAGCAATCTGTTTTACAAAATGATCAATAAGTTCAAAGTAAGTAGGTTAACAAGAACTACTTAAAGTTTACCCACAATTTACAGAAATTAATTCTAAGCGAGTTATCTTTGAAGTTCATAACCAACAACTGTAGCAGGAAGGAACTGTTAATTGAGCGCTGCCCCTCACATAACAATGTAGCCCATGAAAGCTATGTCAATACGCTTTTCATGCAACCGCAAATTTAATCCTGTGCTGTTTTTTAAACCATGAACGCACGGAAAATCGATTACTTATTATTATACCTTGCTTCCATGAAAGCTAATATTAATATTACAAATTTCATAATAACGTACAATTAAATCTACTAATTACATATACCTTATGATAACATTTATTTTAGCAAAAACACCTCCAACTCCCAAACATGTTTTATATGAAACATTTTAAGCTCGAAATTACGTTTTCACGATAACCTACAGTAACGGTTACCGTTTCCGCTCGCTTCCGTTATGGAAATAAACCAAATATTATGAATTTATACGAGCTGAGCAGACGCGTTCGGCGATGCTATAACGTTCTATATCACCGGGGCGCGTTTAATATAGTGCCCCGCGAGGTTTGGATGTCTTAATATACTACCTACTTATGGGAAAACACCTCTAGCCCAGCAATTCTCTTGATGCTTATAATTTATTCACTTAAACATTCTCTTGTAATTATTAGAATGTGATCTGGAAATTAAGACGGTTAAATAGTTAAAGTTTATTACTCTATTTATTCAAAGAATAGGTACAGGATTATTATTATGAAATAATCTTTATTTTTTTATTATAATAATATATTTTTTAATCTTATAATTTACGTATTTCGATGCTGTTAGCAAACCGCAAATTGGAAAGATCATTAGAAGTTTTGTGCCATTAATTAAATTTATAATTAGAGTAGACCGTGATTTTACTCTTTAATGTGTTAATTCGAATTTAATTATAATCGAATTAATTATAAGATAAATTATAATCAAATTATAAATGTTATTAAGCATTAATACAGGTTGTCTCACGTAACTGGTTCGTTAGAACTTTTTTAGGTTCCAGTATTCATACAGTTTTGAAATTTTGGTAGTATGGGTTGTTCAGTCGGAACTTTCGATCTAAAATATTTTCAAGATGGCTGCCACTTCCGGTCTACCGGAAGTAGACCATAACTTCGTTATTTTAAATGGAATGCTATAGTTTTTATTGCACCTTTTAATTGTACGTAAAAAAATATGTTGACTTTCATAAAAGTTATTGGTACCTAGCGTTTTTCGTTTTCGAGTTATTTTGATTTTAAGGTTTTTTTGGCAAATTTCACCATGCTCTTTAAAACCCTATATCCCAGCCAACGTTCATTCAAAAAAGCTCTAAATTGGCACGATTACTCTTCAGATGCTCTCAAATAGATTGTCATATATTGTATCAGAGTATCTTATACAGGATGGTCAAAAATTGAATTACCGTTTCTCCATATTCAATGGGGAGAAAGTCGAAAATTTTAAATGGAACGCCCCATATTTTATTAGCCTACACGAAAGGGAATTTAATTCTCTACAATTTATCTATAAACATTCCTATACTTATTTATTGTAGTTTCTCTCATATTCGTAAATTTATCAAAACATGCAGAAAATGCAGGAAACCGTTTGTATTTTTATTAGAAGGCCATGACATTTTGACAGTTTTTTGTTTAATTTATTTCTATTATTATTTGTACTATTAACTACGATTGATAATCTTTTAGTTTACTAGCTTTTACTTACCAAAAATAACAAACAGAAGATCAAATAAATGAAACTATTAGAACAAAAAGTTAATGACAAAAATTAGATTTGAATAAAAACATAAATTTATAATATAAATTTGTTATTAAATTGAATTTGGAAATGCAATAAAATACATTAAATTATTTATTTCGTTGTCTTCATCACTGGTGACCGGAAATATGCGATTTCTTTTGGTCTCGATATATCCAGAACTAATAAATTCTTTATCAATTTTTTGAAATTTTTCCTTGTGATGGGCGTTAGGTTTGTTAGGCATCTCTCATTAAGTGATCGACACGTCTTGTGCGAAAGTTTATTACATTCGCCATCAATACAAAATAAATTTCAAATATCGGCGGTGGAATAATTTACCATGATGTTCAATAACTTACACCCGTCGTCAAATGTAACTAATGGCAACAATAATACAAACATGGATAAAAAACTGTCAAAATTCCATAGCTTTCTAATAAAAAAAACCTGTATTTCATGCATGTTTTAATAAATTTTGCAATATAAGGCAAACTACAATAAATAGGTATGGGAATGTTTATAGATAATTTGTAGAGAATTAAATTCTCTTTCTGATAGGCTAAAAAAATATGGGGCGTTCCATTTAAAATTTTCGACTTTCTCGCCATTGAATATGGAGAAACAGTAATTCAATTTTTGACCACCCTGTATAAGATACTCCGATACAACAAATAGCAATCTATTTGACAACATCTGAAGAGTAATCGTGCCAAAGTAGATCTTTTTTAAATGAACTTTGGCTGAGATATGGGGTTTTAAAGAACATGTTGAAATTTACCAAAAAAAGTTTAAAACCAAAATAACTCGAAAACAAAAAACGCTAGGTACCAATAACTTTTATTAAAGTCAACCTATTTTTTTACGTACAATTAAACTGTGTAATAAAAACTATAGCATTCCATTTAAAATAGCGAAGTTATGGTCTACTTCCGGTAGACCGGAAGTGGCGGCCATCTTGAAAGTATTTTAGATCGAAAGTTCCGAATGAACAATCCATGCTACCAAAATTTCAAATCTCTACGAATAGTGGAAAATGAAAAAGTTCTAACGAACCAGTTACGTGAGACACCCTGTATATTAACTTTCATCGAGTCATATACTTATTAAATCACAACAAAAACTAGAACATTTAGTTCAACAAAAATATACAAGAACCTGATACTGAATACCAACTGAAACTAGAACTAACACTTGCACTAAAACTAACACTAGACCTAGCGCGTCTCTTAAGACGGCTAAATCAGAATGTCTGTAGTTCTAGGTTTAGTGTTAGTTCTACTTTTAGTTTAAGAAAGATATACGACAATCTAGCGCTGAATAACAATTAAAACTAGAACAAACACTAGACCTAGAACTAGAAAAATTCGGGTTTAGCCGTGTGTCTGAAGACGCACGGCTAAACCCGAAACTTTCTAATTCTAGGTCTAGTGTTAGTTCTAGTTTTACTTCAACAAAAATATACAACAAC